CCCATTTCCTTGGGAACTTAGTAAGCTCTCAAATTGATACGGAAGAACAAAACATGGGTAATAACAGAGACAATTTTGAAAATATTCGACACAGGCAAATTTGCCCTGATGGAGGTAAAGAGCCCATGAGGGGCGGGGTACAGCAGAGCAGAGCAGGTGCTGCATCCTGGGGGGATGAGCAGAAGCCGCCCCCAGATTCCACTCTCACCTGCGACAGGCACAGGCAGGGTGCTACTTAATCTATGTCTCACCCGAAGTCAGACCAGTCCCTCTTCCACCTAATACCCGGCCCAAGTATGAAGAGAACTCCATTCGGTAAAGCAAAGCTTAGAGACTTTTAGAAGACCTAGCAAGGTGTGGTGGCTACAGTCTCAGCACTCTAGGAGGCTGAGGCAGGAAGAACTTAAGTTCAAACTCAGCTTGGGCAACTTAGTGAGATCTTGTCTCAAAAGCCAACATTTCAAAAGGGCTGGGGAGATGGCTGTATGCGAAGACCCTGGGTTCAGCCCTCAGTGTCACTGGAAAATAACCCAACTAACCCGGCAGGAGAACTCAGTCTTTATTAAATTGGATAGGAATTCTTCATTAAGATTCAGGGAAGGAAATTCAAAATTTGACTACATACAAATGAAAATTTTGTTTACTGAATGTCACAGCTTATAAAAACAAAATCATGTCCCAAACTGGAATTAAGCTATTCAAAATAAGCCCTAAAGTCAGAATATATAAGGAACCAAATATATGTAAGAGAGAGACAAAATTTCCCCCTAAAGACATGGACAAAAGATACCAAACGGTGATTTATAGAACTCTTGAAGTAATGGATATAAATCAAAATCACAGTGAAACCACTGTCTGAGCTACCTTTTCATTGCTGGGACAAAATAACTGACACCCACAAGTTCAAGCAGGAAAGTTTATTGTAGATCACAATGTGTGGTGGTTTCGGTCTCTAGTCAGCTGGCTCCAAGGCAGGGTGACTTGGCAGAGGAGGGACAGTCTGCTACAGGGTGGGCGTGAAGCAGCTGCCGCGGTGGTGATGGCTGCAGTGGCAGCAGCAGAAACCCTTTCCTCTTGGGGCTGGTGAGATGGCTCAGTGGTCTAGGGCACCTACTTAGAACAAGCTTAGCAAAGCAGAGCACAGGGACCGCGGTTCAATCCCCCAGCACCACATGCCAGCCAGCCCCGCCCCCTGGTGGGCTGAGCTGGCCACACACACACACACACACACACACACACACACACACGCGTAAAAATAAAAATTAAAAAAAATTAAAAAAAAAAAGAAACCCTTTCCTCTTTTATTTCACTGAGGCTACAAGGCTGTCACCATCCTCGCCATTGTGGGGCTTCCCTCTTCAGTAACCCATTCAGCCCCCCCCACAGCCATTCTGACCCCATCAGTAGACCAGTACAGTCACCACACGCCCACGATCAGCATCCTACATCCTAGATCCAGCCGCCTCCCCAAAGCCCCACCTGGGAGCGCATGCGGCTTTGGGAGGACTTGTACACAGAGGCCGTAGCAGATGCCAAATCGCGTGTCCCAGGCGGGCGAAAGCATCCGGTCTCACAAGGCCACGCGCGGGCAGGGATGTGGACAGGGGAACTGTGGGAGCTTTACCCAGCACTGTCTCCAGAAGTGAGGGAGGGGAGAGCCCTACATCCCTGTCACCGCATTCCTGGAGAGAGCTTCTATGCCAACGCCAGGAGCCCATGGATCCTCACACAGAATTGATTGTAATGCAAACGTTGCAGGTCCCTACCATGACCATTCGCAGCAGGCTGGATAAAAACATTTCAGTTCATTCATAAAATGGAATTGTATCTATCATCGCTTACTAGAACAACAGATTTAATGCAAGATATATAAGTATATAAGAATTTATTGATCCACTTACCATGGCCCCCCACAGGGTCACGTGTGGAAGAGTGCAGAAGAGCTGTCTGCACACCCGGATCTGAAGGATCCAGGCAAAGGATCCTGGAGCTCTGGGCAGTGTCCCATCGTGTCCATATGAGGAGGCTGAAGAGTCTATGCTGGGAGCCAGGAGAACTTTCCAAGATGAAGTAGAAGACTGGAGCTCCTCTGAAGAGAACAGAATCGATTCCTCCTTCCTTGTTTCTCCTTTATACCACACTGGCGACATTCCTCCCGACAATGGGTCTTCACACCCAGAACTAAGGTGACCCAACTTAGTTGGGCATTTCTTAGTCAGTCAGCGATCACAGGAATATTGTACACCAAGAAAAAAAATCACTTAATTAGAACTGAAAGCTGAACATTTCCCAGCACTCTCTGGGGTGAGGATAGTGCCTCCAAAATCCCAAGGCCCATGTGGAGAGAAGAGGGCTGCGTGATGCTGAGTGGCCCCAGGACAAGAACTGCCACCTCTGTAGGGACAGTCTAGTCAGGTCAATCTGAGTTGAAAATGAAGAATGGGTTTCTAACAGGCTGCAGTGGCCAGGGATGCGCTCCTGTCGTTGGCAGTATGTGAGTGGGAACAGGGAAGTTGCCACATGGGCAGTGAAGCAGGAGGTGTGAGGGTGGGATTGGGGACAGGAGGCCTTGAGACCCTCTAGGCCTTGGGGCTCTGCATTCACTGAGTTTGTAAAGCGTGGTCAGAAGAGGAGGGCACGAGCCAGGGATGCAGGCAGGAGCAGGGGCCCTGCTCTCTGGGCCACGATGCCACCCCTAGTGTCACAGGCCGAGGAGCTCGCAGGGGCGCGTGCGGACTCAACTCCTGAGAAGCTCTAGACCTGCAGGGTGACCTCCTGTGAGGGTCGGTGTGGGTGGTGGAGGGGAAGGAGGGGAAGGTAAAGGGAGGAGGGGGGGAAGGGAGAACTGGAGGGGAAGAGGGAGGAGAAGGAAGAGGGGGAGGGACGGAGCAGGGATGCAGGCTGGGCATGCGCCCCCTCTTGGCGGCGGTGGACATCGAGGCTGCTGCAGCCTGACCTTGTCAAGTGGCCTGGGCCCCACCATCCCATCCATGCTAGGAGAACCCTGGCAGGCAGACCCAGACCTCCAGGGAGAGGAGTGCATCCACTGTGTGCCTCGGCCTCCTCTGCAGGAAGAGGAAGAGGGGGACGCTCCCCCTGGAAGCTCTGCCCCCTGGCCCTGTGGCTGTCATCTTCCTCCCTCCTGATCTTGCTGTCTTGTCACAGGTATCCCCATACCCGCTTGCATAGCCCCTGATAGCTGCAGGTTGGGGACATTCCAAGACAGTGGCTCCAGCATACCCGTATCACGCTGTGCTGTTCAGGGCTGGCTTTCTAATGTTCCATGTCCAGAGCGAGGTACTCAGGCGGTTCGTGAACGCCCTCCAAGTGAACCAGCAAGTCGGCGGCTGCCGGCCAGGGACATCTTTGGTGTGCACTGTGCTGGAGAGGTAGCTTTCCTGAAGTGAACAGCAGGTGCAAGGCTCGGGCTGCAGGTCCATGGACAGTTGAGCAGGTTGTGCACTGTGCAGGGAAGAAGGTCTGCTTTGGGTGGGTGGGTGGGGGAGTGTGGGGTGAAACCCAGTACACAGACTGCTTTCCAAGCCACATGCATTGGCTGGGTCGTCTCAGGGGGTCCAGTGCTCTTTGCCTTTTTAAAAAGTCGAGGATGGGGGCCAGGGAGATGGTTCAGTAGAATAAGCACTTGCCTGGCAAGTGCAAGGGCCTGAGTTCAATCCCTGGTTCCACCAAAAAAAAAAAAAAAGTTGAGGATGCTAAGCACATGCTCTGCCCCTGTGACAAAGCGTGTGTCTTGGAAGTTTAGCTTTGCAGAACATCATGAAGAGCCTGAGTGTCCACCTCTGTCCTCCCCCCAGGCCCATCCCAGATCTGTGTCAATGACATAGGTAGGGCACTTGTCAAAGCTCAGAGGTGAACCCTGTGAGAATCTGGATAGCTCAGGTTCAGCCTCCTGCTTGCTCCTTCTCAGATCCCGGGTTCAGGACCGGCGCCACCTCAATGCGTTCCAACTCCTTCCTTTACATGGACCCTGGGCAGTGTTGGGGTCCAGTAGAAAATGGGCAGGCTGACATCTGGGCCCAGCCCCAGCTTTTCCTGAGGGTGACAGGTCCAGGGTGAGTAACCCCATCTGGTGAGGTGCAAGGGCTGGGCAAGGGCCATCAGCAGGGAACTTAGAGCCAGCTGGAGCCAGCAATTTTCTGAGCCTCCCTCCTGGAAGTCCCTGTGGCCAAGCAGACCACATGCCACCTGAGCCCTGCCACCAAGCTGCAGCCTTAGCCTTCGCCCCTCCGCAGCAGTACCTGGGGCCAGGGGGCTCAGAATTGCCTGTGTGGTCCTAGCACTCAGATGATCTCTCAGCTTCTCTGCTCTGCATCTGTGAAATGGGCTGAGGTACCAGTCCCAGGGTCACAGGGCAGCCTGAAGGGTACACTCTGCTCCTCTGCCGCCTTTGCATTCTCCATTGGTTGCACCACCGCCCCTTCCTGCCTCACCTCCATCTCTAACCTCCCACTCATGCCCCTGCTGGGGTCACCTCCATGTGCACCCAGGTGATGCTCACCCCAGTGCCCTGGCTTAGACACCATGTTCAAGTGCCAGCTTGAGTGATGCCAACCTTCAAGTCCCCAGCTCTTCCCCTTGGTGACACAGAGGTCCTTCCTGCAGTTCCTCCGTGGTTCTAGTCACTTCCTAGCTCATCTACAGGCACCTGTGCAGCCATCCTGCCTCTCTAGGGCGAGGCCTCTGCCTGTTCCTGTGCCTGGTGCCAGCAGGCCTCCTTGAAATGCTCACACTTACGCCTGAGGTAGACTGGTCTTGGGGAAGCCCCAGGTTCTAGGGGAGCAACCTTGGCCACACCCCTGAGAGAGGAAGTGGGTCTCCCAGTCTGGAGGGTGCCTTGGCTCCTGCTAGGGCCCCAGGGCAGGTGCCTTGGGGTGGGGAGGTGGGGCCAGCACCTGAGGCCCCCTCCCTTGCCCAACAGCAGGCTCCGCCCTCTGCAGGCGAGGGCTGCAGCCTGGTGAGTTCCCCTTCCGCTTCCTCCTGCCTTCTGTCCCTCAGCTGCTTCTCCTCCTCTCCTCTGGGCCACCTCGCCAGCTCTCCACGCCCCTGGCGCCCGCAGGCACACTGCTTCAGGCCCTGAGCTGTCACCACACCCCAGGCCCCGGACACGATGCAGGCCATCAAGTGTGTGGTGGTGGGAGATGGGTAGGTACCACCTGAGACCTTTCCGCCTCTTCCGCCCTGCATCCTGGCAGATGGGCAGGTGGAGGAGTCCTGGGGGCTGCTGGGAAGAGTTGCTTCCTTCTCCCAGGGCCCAGAGGGAGCACCTGGAGTGCAGCCTCATTCTTCACGCCCATCCCACCCTGGAGGGCAGTGATGCTCGGGGCCCGCGGCTGCACCCTGAGAGCCAGGTGTCTAGTTCGGTCTGCAGTTCTGTGGATGTGGGGCCAGGCGGGGACCAACAGCCCGGATGACCTGGGCTGTGGTCCCTGGCTTGCTATAGCAGGAGCCTTGGGCAGGTCACAGGTCACAGCACAATTCTAAGTCCCAGCCAGGCCATCTGGGAAGAGACGGAGGTCCTTGGGGCTGTGGTGGGTAACAGGGACAAGCGGAGTAGGTTGTGTGTGCTTGTGCCCCTCCTCCAGCCTGACGGTTGGGGAGGGTGTGGGGGAGAATCAGAGGCAGAGTCAGGAAGGAGGAGGGCAGGGCGGTTGGGGCCAGCAGGGGCAGCCTGGGCCAAGGGTCTTTCAGCAGTCATTCCCCCGCACCTCAGTTTCCTCACCTGTAGGGTGATGAGTCAGTGTGTCAGTCTCCCACGCCAGCCAGTGCATGTTAGGGACCAGGCAGCCATGCCTCCTGGGGGCCCCCCAAGTTCAACCTGGTGTGGTCCAGCTGGCCCATGCTGCACAGCTGGAGCCTGCAGCTTAGAGACACTTGGACCTCTCCAGGCCTGAGTCCCCCGGGGCCAGACTTGGGCTGGGATCGGGCTCAGTGGGGGCACAGCCAGCTGCCCGTTATCTGCCCTATCTGCCCTCCACCTGCCCCAGCCTGCCCTGCACACTTCTGCTTTGTGCCTGATGGGGGAGGCGCAGAAGAAGTCAAGGTTAACAACATCCCATCATTCAAAGTTACTTGGTGTTAGCCCCTGGGGAAGGAGAGCCGAACTGGAGAGAGGGTGAGAAGTCGATGTGAAACAGGAAGTGACAAAACCCAGCCAAGCTGGGGAGGCCCAGAGCTGCCCCCTTGGCACTCCGCTACCCAAGGAGCTACATGCTCACCCTCATCTGGCAGGCCAGGGGTGTAGTGGCCGTGACCACTTAGTTGTCACTAAATGCCAGGCACCAGGCTCCACCTTGTCCCCTTTATCCCCCACCAACCCGAAGATCATGTCCCTTTATACAGGTGGGAGGTGGAAGCTCAGAGAGGGTTACTAATTGGCCTAAGACCTCACAGGATTCAAACCCCAGTCTCTCTGACTCTGCTCCTACCTATTGTACCCCATGGTGTGGTGGCAGGAAGAGGGGCTAGGCTGTCCTGACTCACTGGTGGCCATGACGGTGCCAGGCGTTGGCTCAGCATGCTCATGAGTCATGTCCTACACACTCCTAGAAGGATGGACTCCTTGTTGCTTTCTAGGTGGGGAAACTGAGGCACAGGGCAGTAAGGTGACTTCCAAGGCCAGGCCCCTGGGAGGGGGTGGACTTTGCAGCCCTTGGAGGGTGACAGCAGAGCTGGGTCGGAAACCCAGGCCTGCTGTGCTCTCCTTGCTAGTTCTGTCCTTTTGAGCAGAGTTTTTGGCATCCCAGGTGGGGTCCTGAACCCAGAGGCCTGCGCCTGGCAGTTGCTGGGTCCCTGGAGCACCAGACAGGGACTCAGGCAGAGCCCTCGACCATGTCCTCTCTGGCTTCCTGTCTTTCAGAGCTGTGGGCAAGACCTGCCTCCTCATCAGCTATACCACCAACGCCTTCCCCGGAGAGTACATCCCCACCGTGTGAGTGCTTCAAGGGCGGGTCCAGGTGGGACTCAGGGGGCGGGGGTGCTGGAGCTGCCTGAAGAGGCTGCCAGGGAGGCAGGAGGATGGGACAGGGACAGGGTGGGACAATGTGGACAGGGTGGGAGATAAGTAGTGATCATCAGGCTGGTCTCACAGGAGAGATGAGAGGAGAGGCTGGCCAGCCCAGCAGGAGCAGGAGGTGGAGGAGGGGCTGAGTGGAGAAGCTGATGGGAGGGGAGGAGGAGGAAGGGGCAGAGGAGAAGCGCCTGTGTTGCTCTTCTTCCTGTTGCCTGTGCTCCCCGGGTGCCTTCACCCCAGGGCCTTTGCTCTTCTCCCCGCCCATGTGTGTGGAAGCTTCAGCCCAGCCCTAGGGCCCTCCTTCCAGGGAGCTGTTCTCATTTACCCCAGAGGTGTCCCATGCTCCTGCCGGACTACCTCACACAATCTGTCCTGTGGCCTGGTTCCACAGGGACCTCTGTGTGGTCTTGGCACAGCGTCTGACTCGTGGGATCATAGGTGTGTGGTCGCATTCGCAGTCCTGTGTTTCAGGGTGACCTGAACCAGGCAGCACAGGGGGCCCCAGGAGGACCATCTATTGGTCCTTTGCACCGAGTCGTACCAGTGTGGTCTAAGTTGATCCTGGGTGTTGTGATACCAGGACATGGGAAAGCTGTGTCCCACCACAGCTACAGGGGATGTGCCCTAGGGCCACAGGAAGCCACCTGGGGCCCTCATTTGGTGGTTGTAGTGGGCCATCCTTTTCAAGAGCAGGATCCAGACCCTTTGGGATGGGGCCGGGGAGATGGCTCAGTGGAATAAGCGCTTCCCTGGCAAGCGCAAAGGCCTGAGTTCAATCCCTGATTCCGACCAAAAAAAAAGGAATACTCAGACCCTTTGGGAAAGAGTGAGAGAGGCAGACTGCCCCTTGAGATGCTGAGGATCCCCTAGGATCTTAGTGCCAAACCCAGAGCCACCCTAAGCCTCTTGGGTCCCTGTAGTGTGGGCATAGCATGCTCTGCTGATAGCCTGGGCCCCCTTGCGGCACCTGGCCCACCCCCAAGGAGGATGGCGAGTTGCTTTCTTCAGACGATCCAGATTTCTCCAACTGGTCCTGAGGCTGCAGGGGGCCCTTCTGCACACTTGTGCTTGTATGATGAAGGCAACGGGGGTCTAGATGGCTGCCTGTCACCATTTCCCAGGCTCCCCTGAGTGCCAAGGCAGGGCTGGCTCTAAACTGGGCAGGGAGGTGGGTGCAGAACTGGGAAGGTGGAACCTGTGGGAACCACTGTCCCCAGGAGTGTGCTGTCACCACCCATGTCCCTGAGTCTCTGGAGGCTGGCTGAGGTCCCATTCTGCCTCTGCCTGTTCTTTTGGGTTGGGGAACTCATTTGCTGATCTTGGACCTATTATTTTCCCTTTCTAGTCTCTAAGCCTCAGTTTCCCTCCTTATGAGAGGCAGGGGCAGGGCTGGGAGATCCCAGCATGGCCCAGCCCCCTCCTCTCTTGCATGGAGCTGGAAGACTGGGGCCTCTGGAAGGGGCCGGCAGAGGCCATGTGCTCCCAACAACCTGGACTGGGGTATGGGGAGGAGTGTCGGGTGCCTGGTGGCTCACAGTGGGCCGACTTGGCCTGGACTCAGTGGAATTGGGTCAGAGCACCCTCGGGCTAGTGCCTTGGGCGCCACTGCTTAGATGCAAAGCACGGCTGCTCAGAAGGGTGCTGCACCTGGTTTTGTCTGTTATCCTTTGCGCTTTTCTCAAGCAGTTCTAAAGAAGGGCTGAGCGCTTTTACTTTGTGCCGGGACCTCTGTACGTAGCAACATTTGTCTCCCACCACCAAGTCGCTTGGCCCCAGACTACTCAGGCTACAGGGAGGGAAAAATCTGCCACCCCGAGCTCTTGAGCTTATAGCCAGGGGCAGGGGTCTAACAGCCAATGTGCAGGCACCTTCCCTGGTGGGTGGGATGCACTGTAGCCCAGCCAATCAGGCGCGGAGGTCTGTGGAGCATTTCCACCACCCCCCCACCCCCCAGGTTGTTTTTATCACCTCTCTGCATTCCTTCAGAGGGGATTCAGCCTGCCTGCTGCCTTCTACTGCAGGGATGCTGAGGCTTGGGTTGCAACACTGCGGCAGAAATTCCCTCCACCCTGAGGCTGCAGCATTCACAGCCTGCTGATTTACGCTGTTGACCCAGTAGTGGAACCAGTGGGGTCCCTTGAGTCTGCTGCACATTTTCACAGTGCTGACACCTACTGTGGAGATGGTTCCAGACCCATGGGAGGGCAGGAACACCTTGCCTTTGGGTGGTGTGACATAGAACATCTCCCTTGTCACCTCTGTCCTTCACGCTCAGAGTGAAGCCTGGAGAGCTTTTAAAGGGGAGCGTTAGAGCTGCATCTTGCTGGGAAGCCCTCCCTGAGCCCTTCATATTTTTCTGTTTTCCTTCCTTTCTTCTTTCATTCCTCCCCTCTTTCCTTTCTTCCTTTCTTTTGTGGTGGTACTGGGGATTGAACCCAGGGCTTTGCACTGAACTACTTTTTAAAGAACAAAGGGCTGGGCAATAGCGCGACAGTCAAAACGTCTGCCTGGCAAGTGCATGGACCCAGGTTTGATCCCTGGTACCTCATGCCATGTGTGGTCCTGAAATCAGGCGTGGTAGTGCATGTCTGTAATCCCAGAGTAGGGGAGGCTGAGACAGGAGGATCAGTAGGAATCTGAACTCCATAGTGAGACCCTGTAACATAAATAGATAAATAAATAAATGATTAGACATTTTTTTTTTTTGCTCGAATGCCTTCAGGGCACTTTTGGCCAGCGGGAGAGGTGTGAGGTTCGAACTCCAGCAACCTGAGGCTGACAGCTTTGTGGAAGCAGCCACTTAAAGGCCTGAGCTAGGGCCAGGCCCCCGATTAGAAAAAAATTTAAAAAAATAAAGAAAAAAAAAGATGTATTTTGAGACAAGTTTTCACTAAGTCACTAAATTACCCAGGCTGGGCTTAAACTTGTGATCCTCCTGTTTCAGTCTCCCAGAGTGGTGCGACTACAGGAGCGTGCCACCACACCCAGCCCCTTCACACTTAGGATGTACCTTCTGTCCCAGTGTTCAAAGGGCTGAAGCCCAACCCACTGTCCCCACCCCTGTCATCTACCACTCCCCTCCACCGACTCCAGATGCTGGGCTTCCTCCCCGATGCCCCCGCACGCCAACCTCTGATGCCTGAATTGAATCGCTCCTTTCCTGGCACCCAGTTTGCTGCTTGGATGTGGCTCCCAGACCCCGTCTAAAGCAGCCCCTTACCTCTGTCCCACTGCGCTGCCTTTATTTCTCCCTAGCCGTCAGGATCAGACTTGATGTCTCTGTTCCTGGGCTGCACCCCACTGGTGTGGGTTCTGCAGGGACAAGGCCTTTGTCTCCTGCACTGTCTATTGTAGAACAGGGTACTGGAATTGCTGGTGCTCACAGTGCCGGCACCGCTGGGCAGGCTGCTGGGCACGCTCTGTAGCAGGAACACTCACCATTCCTATAGGTGTTTCATTTTCACCTTCCTTTCTGACCCTCCCTTTAGGGCACTGGCAAAACACTCCCTGGGTGTGTGACATGTGGGCTCCCAGACCCGAATCCTTACAGTGTCCTAAGCCCCTGCCTGGCCGATCAGCCCTCCCTCGTTCCCACATTGCCATCCACGCATGCTCTGTGTGCACCAAGCTGCTCCTTGGAGGAAGAGCGAAGCAAAGCCAAGTGACACCAGGGTGCAGCACCTCCTCTTACCTGCCCCTCCTCCGCTCCATTCAGGGTCAGGGCTGGGCCTCAGCCTGAGCCAGGCCTCCCTGAGACCCCACCAGTTCTAACTGTGCTTTGTGCTCGCTTAGTTGGGCAACAAGATCTGCCAACCGCCACCAAGTGGCTGGGTCTCTTGGGCAAGTCCCTTCCTGCCTGCAGGCCCAGTGTCTTCATCTGGAACATGGTGGCCTCTAGGGTTCCCCTGTGGGCCCCAGAAGCCGGAGGGACCCCAGGAGTGGTACATCATCCCCGTAGCTGGCCCCCAGGTCCTGCAAACTGGCCTTCTAGTGAGGTGCTCAGCAGGGGCCATTTGGGGACACTAAAAATGAGATCGCCCAGTTTCTCACATTTCCCAGTGGGAATGGCCGAGAGACAAGTCCCCCATCTCCCCAGGGATGTGAGTCAGGCTCAGAGGGGCCAGGTCACTCATCCTGAGTCACAGCTGGCACGCAGCTTCTCAGGGAACTGTCCTTCCCAAGCTCCGGCGGCCGTCCTTGGGCACCGTCCCCGGCTGAACCCACCTGCAGTTCTCCTGTCTGTTCCCTAATGTGAATCTTAGAACGAGCAGGTCTTGAGGCCCAGCTCCTGCGCTGGCTTGGAAATGTCATGTGAACTCCTGGGGCCTCGGTTTTTTATTTGGGTAATGAGGGTTATTTAGGGTCTTTTTGTCTTGAATTCCTGGAGGATTTCAAGACCTAATGCAGAGGCCCCTCACCTCGCCTGGTCCTGGAGTTGGTACTTGGTGTCATCAAAGCCCCTAATCCAGGGGCCAGGGAGATGGCACAGTGGAAAAAGCGCTTCCCTGACAAGCACAAGGGCCTAAGTTCAATCCCCAGTTCCACAAAAAAAAAACCCAACAACAAACAAACAAAAACAAAACAAAACAAAACTCCCAGCCCTTTCACCAATGCCACTGCCCTGCCACCCTGGGGCGACCCAGAGGACAGAGACGCCTGTGGCTGGAGGAATCTTGAGAGGCTCTAGAGCTAGAATTTCAGGTTGGAAGTCATAGGAGGAGGTTGTCCTGGCCTCCTGCCTTGTCCTAAACGTGTTGGACACGTTTTTGCTTGGACCCTAAAAGACTTGTTTTCCCAGTAAGTTTGGCTGTGACTTTCTGGATAGTGCCTTTTCCTGAAACCCCTGCAGTGTGGGGGGCTCCAGAGTAGGTGTGCAGCAGACCTACTATGTGCTGGGCCTCTCGCTGGCCTTAGGGTACAGAGAAGAGCAAGCCCATCCCAGTGTGCGCTTCAGAAGACACTGACCAGCAGGGAGTGCTGGCTGGGCGGGGTGGCCCTTGCCTGGAGGGGTGCAGGATGGGCTCTGGGGTGAGCGCGAGTCAGCTCTGCTGCCATGGGGAGGAAGTGGGGCAAGGGAAGGCACGTGGGGAGTGAGAGGCCACGAGTAGAGGAGTTTCCAGGCCCCGGGGGCCCAGGGAAGAATTGAGAGGTAACCAGGACCAAGTGCAGGACTGAACCAGCTGTGTGTATTACAAATGCCAGCCAGTACTCAGCGTGAGGGCACTCACTCTGAGATCCACCCATCCCAAGATGTGGGGTGCCCACCGCCAGGATGGGCTTCTGTCGGGAGCGGGGCGTTTGGTTTCCTCTGAAGCATTGGGGCTTCCGCAGTCTAGCTGGGCTGCATTCGTGGCAAAAGTGGCTTCCGGAGAGTTTCAGTTCAGTTTGTCAACTCCTATCCCACCTGCACTCTGGGCACTGGGCCCAAGAAGGAGGAGGTGAAGCAGGTACAAGCCCAGACCATAGGGACACACACACACACACACACACACACACACACACACGGAACACCACTCAAGGTCAAGGCCAAAGCAAAGTGGTCACCCAAGGAAAGGACCCAGAGCTCTTTCTGAGTGGGGACAGGAAGTCCCTCAGAGGGACTGTTGCCCATCAGGGTTTTGAAGCATGAATAGGAGACAAGAGTAGAAAGGGGTGAGAGGGCCTGGACAGCAAGGAGGTCAGAGGGCGGGGCTTTGGGGGGAGGGGCACAGTTGGGCCCTGTGGGCACTCTGGATGTGGGGTCAGACAGGTTTCTTACCTAGTTGGGTCTCTCATTGGCTGGGTGGCCTTGCACATGTCATAGGACCTCTCTGGTCCAAGGCCTCTCTTATCCAGTCCTCTTTGTCCCTGGTCCCGACACACTTCAGCCTCCTGTGGACTCTGAAGGCCCAGTCAGCTTTTCCATGGGTTCATGACAGTGGCTTTCTGTGTCATTCAGGGTGACTCTCTGCCTCCTGGAGAAGGGAGGTGGTGGATGGCTGTCCTTGTGACCTGCCCTCTCTGGGAAGACCCTACAGGACAGAGCTCACTAGCCTGTCCTCTCTCGGCCACTGTTCCTTGTGGCTTGCGGGGCTCCCTCTCACACACCCCTCTCCCTTACACCTCCTCCTCCTCCTTTCAGAACTTGTTCCTGGAGAGTTTGGCCTAAAACAGTGACAAGCATTCATTCAACAAATAGGGAATGACCACCTTGGTGGCTAGGTGGGTGGGGAGAGTTCTTGGCAGGAACAATGTTCAGCCTTGATTGGTCTCTCCTCCTTAGGACAATGGAAGGCAGAAAAGTGATCAACAGCTAATGTTTTCCTCCCACTGAAAAAAAATTTCAATAGGATGAACCAATAATGAAAAACTACAGAAGGCATCAGCTCTGTGACCTGGGCCCAGCTGCAGCCCCTCTCTGGGTCTCAGTCCTGCGTGGGACAGCTCAGGGCTGGGCTAGAAGTCTCAGGCTCTGAGCCGTGAGGCTGACCGTGTTCTCTGTCTCACTCATGCTCCATAGGTTTGACAACTATTCAGCCAATGTGATGGTGGACAGCAAGCCCGTGAACCTGGGGCTGTGGGACACGGCTGGCCAGGAGGACTATGACCGCCTACGACCGCTCTCCTACCCACAGACGGTGCGCTGCCCCCTCATCCCGCCCTGGGGTCCTGGCCCTTGTGCCCCTGCTCTTTCTGTGTCCCCCACCTTGGAGCCAGGGTGGCTTGATTAACCTGCTCACCCCTTGAGACCCAGCTGTCAGAGTCAGCCCAGGCAGAACCGGGGTCCCTGCTGGGTTCTTGATCCTGTCTTCTGGTGTCACTGGGTCCACCTTCCTAGCTCTGTCTCTCGGTTTTGGCAGGGCACCCGGATGTAATCCTACAAGTGGTCCTGAGGCTGCCAAACCCAGGGGGTCCTGGCTCTCCCTCTTGGTGGGCAAGAGAGGGCTGGGGCCGTAGGAGCCCAGAGCACTGTTGAAATGGGTCCTGTGTTCCTGAGTCCTATTGTGAGGTGCTCCTGGCAAGCTCCTAGCCTGTGTGAGCCCATTTGTCAGCAGAAGGGACACTGCAGGAATTGGGGGGCGGGTGGGAGGCTCCGGAAGAGGCCCTGGCCTGGCCAGTGACAGAGCAGCTGAAGGCGGAGCCCCTCAGAGCCCCTCCCCCCTGCACACTGGCCCACTAGAGCTTCAGGGTGACCCTGGCCTGCTCTGTCCCCAGGACGTCTTCCTCATCTGCTTCTCCCTCGTCAGCCCCGCCTCTTACGAGAATGTCCGCGCCAAGGTGAGCTGGGCAGACAGAGCCATGACGGGCAGGTGCCTGGGGTAGGGGCAGGGACAGGCAGTGTGAGCCCTCCTAGGACAGCAGAGGCCACCATGGGGGCAGTCCTGGTGCTGAGGAGGCTCCTGAGTGGGCTGGGAGGGTGGACTTCCTCTTCACTTGTTTCCTGTGACCCTGTCTCTTTGTGCCCGTGTCTTATCTTCGTGTCACCCCGTGCCCACATCTTATCTCCACCTGCTCTTGTGCTGTGACCACATGCTGGGCTCCTGCGTGCCCCTGTCCCCTCCCGCCTGCTCACTGCCTCTTTGTGGTGCCCTCTGTGCCGCTGCTTGCCCAGTGGTACCCCGAGGTGCGGCACCACTGCCCCAGCACGCCCATCATCCTGGTGGGCACCAAGCTGGACCTGCGGGACGACAAGGAGACCATTGAGAAGCTGAAGGAGAAGAAGTTGGCACCCATCACCTACCCGCAGGGCCTGGCATTGGCCAAGGAGATCGGTAGGGGGCCGGTGCAAGGCGGGAGCTGGGGGCGGGGCGAATCCCAGCATAGCGTGGCTGTTGGGCGGGGCACTGGCCGTGTGACCCTGGCCTCATTCCCCAGACTCTGTGCTTTAGTAAGATATGGCTACAGTAAGGGTTCGTGCTTCTGTGGGTGCTGCGGAAAATTAAGAGAATTAACATGCAGGCACCCGGGGAAACACTGCACCGAAGCACTGTTAACAAGGAGTGGTCTCCCTTGCTGGGCTCTAAGATGAGAGGGTGTGGTCTGTTGAGACAGACTCGTTTCCTGAGGGTGGCCAGCGGAGCCTACTCAGTTTTCTGGGAGGGCTTCCTGGAGGAGGCGCTCTGGGGTTCCCCAGCTCCTTTGCCTGCAGGCAGACCCTGGGCAGGGTAGTTCATGACTTCCTAAGGTCACCCTGCAGGAGGTGGCCCCTTCACTATGTGAAAGAAGGACGGCATATTGCAGGCTGGGGTGGGGACTTCTCAGGCCTGAGGCCCAGTCCCTGTCCTGGTCAGAGCCCAGCCACCCTGACCAGCTCCACCTCCCTCCCTGCTGCGCTTGAGCCCAACTCCCCCTCCCCCACCCTTCTCCCGGAAGCGGGAGGGGCCCCTCGCTCACTGCTCACCGGAAGACAAACCACAGCAAGCAGCCTCCTTCAGCCCCAGGGGCCTCGCCTGGGTTTAAACCCTGGGTCCCCTGCCTCATACCCGTCTGCGGTGTTCTCTTCGCAGAAGCGGGTTTTTGTTTTTTGAGACAAGGCCTCGCTATGTAGTTCAGGCTGACCTGGAACTCACTATGTAGCCCAGGCCCACGTCCTTCACCTGCCTCAGCCTTCTTAGTGCTGGGATTACGGCTTCTGCCACCAGGTTATCTCCTTGCATTCTTGCCCCCACCCCCAGCCCTTCTTCCTCCTCGCCCTCTGCGGGTTCCCCCTGCAGCCCCAGGCCTTCCTCCCAGCTGAGAGCCTCTTGGCCGTGTCTTTCCCAGCGGTTTCCCCTTCAGACTTGAGGAATCACAGGATTTTTTCAACAGCCAGGTGCTGACCAGCGTCAGTCCCCTTTTCTCTGCCCACAAAGATACTGGCCCATCTGTGGGGAAGGTGGTGCAAGGTCTCCTCCTCTTCCTTCCTCTGGTTACTCTTCCATGGTGTTCAGGTTGCAGCGAACGGAGGCCACATGGGCTCTGACCTGAAGGCCAAGGCGCAGTGTTCCCAGGGTGGGGACCATCTGCTCTTCTCACTGTCTGGGTCCGTTCTGTCCCCATGTCCTTGCCAAGGGGCCCTGGGTACCTGGGTGGGGAAATCTCCAGCAGCTGATATTGATCAAGTCCCACAGCTTCTGTGGCCTCAGTTTCCTCCTCTGTAAAATAGGGGTGAGGTTAAGAGACAGCCAGGTGGTGCTGGGGTTCTGGTGACCTTGAGGGCTGCTCAGTCTTGGGAAGCCACATGCTGTTTCTAGAAGAAATGAGAGGCCAAGGGATTTGTTCAGGGACGCTCCAGTCTGGCCTGCCTCCCACTGCCCAGGGGCTCCTGGGTCTGAGAATGACACCTGCTGGTGTGTGTGGGGTTGCCTCCCCTGGGACCCAGGAGCCTACTGCAGGCCAGGGAAACAGAGGCCCCAAGAGGCAGCTTCCCTGCTCAGGGTAACACAGTTCCCAGGAGGCCTTCTTGGGGCTGGAACCAGGCTGGGGACTCTGGCTTGGGGTGTCTGCCAGAGCTGCCCCCACGCAGGTCTCACTTCTCCCCTTCTGTCCCAGACTCTGTGAAGTACCTCGAGTGCTCAGCTCTCACCCAGAGAGGCCTGAAGACAGTCTTTGACGAGGCCATCCGTGCTGTCCTGTGCCCTCAGCCCACACGGCCACAGAAGCGTCCCTGCAGCCTTCTCTAGGTGAGCGTCCCTCCCCAGCTCCTGTGACTCCCCCAGCTCAACTCATCGAACATGCACGGCAGCCTATTCTGGCTGGAAGAGCATCTGCTGTGAGGATGACATTCAGGCCAAATGCCAAGAGAGCCTGTTTCCCCAGGCGCCCCCATCAACCGCCTCATGGAACCCTTTCCAGAAGGCTCAGGAACCAGAGCAGGGCCCTGGGGCACTGACCCCACTCAGCCCCTTCCAGCTGTGGCTGGTGGGGAGGAGGAGTGAGAGTCCCAGGACACCCCTGGCAGGTGGGGTGGGGCAGAAGGGGTGAGTGGGTGCCAGTGGTGGTGGGGCTGGCCTTCAGGGCCTCTTGGGAGGGAGCCAGGAGGCTGGGGAGGAGGGTATGGAGGGCAGGAAGGGCAGGAGCCAGGCCCAGGAGAGCTCACCTTGTGTTCAGAATCTCACCTCCTGCCTATCTCCCTTCCAGGTTGCACCCGGCTCTCCCTCCCACCCAATGAATGGTCTGACCCTCCAGGCCCCCAAAGGCACCTCGGCTGGCCCTGGCGTCCCCTCCTTGTGGTGTTTCTAGCTGGCTGCAGAGCTTGGCTAATGTTTCCACGCTGGAAGCCCCAGGGGCCAGCAGCGGGGGGACTTTGCAGGGGCTGCCTCTTCCCTCCATACTCCTGCCCTCCCGGGGACGGAAGGGGCCCCATAGCCCAGTAAGCACCTGTGTCACAAGGCAGCCTGCACCCACTCTCTCCCACCCCACTTGCCATCTGACCCTCCTCTGAGAACTTGGAGCACCGCCGTATACCTCTGGGGGGCCACTGAATATCTCCAGGGACAGGGCTCATCCTCTGGGGTTGTCTGAAAGTCCTCCTTCAAGCTGTCAAGATGCATGTGTTGGATGTGTGCTCTGGTCATAGTTTTCCTTTGTTGGGATGACATAAATCAATTTCTCTAAACCGCTGTGGGTATCTGCCATGCTATTCAAGAGTGTAAACCCTGACCATTGTGCAAGACTTTTCCCTCTTCTGGCAGGGTTCTGAGTGTATGTTTCTGGAAGAGTCTTAGGACTTTCGTACCCTGTCAGGCAGGACTCTTGCTATTGCAGATAGAAAAGCTAATTCATCCTGCTTAAATGGAAAATAAATTTAATGATTCAAGTTTAGAACTCCTGTGACTTCTGGTGTGGCTTGATCCAGGATGTCCCAGTGATACTGTGAGGCTTGTCTCTGTATCTCTTTGTTCTGTTAGTTCAGTTTCAAGCAGATAATGTCGCCGTTCTTGCAGGTTCAGACTCAGCCAAAGAAAGCGAGTAACGCATCTGCCTCCAACTTCTAAGGAAAGTCTACTCTGATTGGACTGGCCTAAGTTTTCCACTCCCTTCAACCAATTATATTTGCCAGAAGGGTGCTGCCTCTGGTTGGCTGGGCTTGGCTGATGTGCTGTGCTGGGGTGAAGCCAGGATGGAGGCTCAGGACAGAGCCCCTCCCATCAGCGCAGGGAGTGGTGGTCCCAGCAGGGCCCTGAGCTCAGGGATGATTCTGAGTAGGAGGGCAGAAGTCCCCACCTTACAACTTGCTGGCAAAGAGACACAGGCCATGCTTCCCCCCTTGAGAGCAGTCACCATTTCCCCCAAACTTTCCATCCATCTAACCATCTGTCCGTCTGTCTGTCCATCCATCCAACATATCTCCCAGCAACTCCCTCTGTGCCAGGCGCTGTTCTAGCTGCCAGGGATCTGGGGCCACCTGAATTGTCCTCTCTCCAGGGTCTTGCACTCCAGAGGAGCTATGAGACGAGAAAGCCCCCACCCAGGCAGCCCAGAAGCCCCACCTCCAGCCCACAGAAGCTCTGCTGTCCTTGACCTCTGGGTACCCACACTGTCCCAGGTCCCCAGGCAGGACTCCCCCAGCTCCCTCATTCCCAGGAAGCCACTCCAGAGCGACTCAGAGGGCAGGGAAACCCCTCTTTTCCCCTGAGTTTCTGTGCAAAGTCTGTATGATTTTAGGGTCACTTTTCCTCTGAAACAAATATTTAAAGCCTCCCAAGGGTGGGTGAGACAGCTCAGTGGTCTAAGTGCCTGCCTAAGCAAGTGCAGGGACTGGGGTTTGATCCCGGTATCATATACTATGTTGACCATACCCCCTGGCGTGCTGAACAGGCCACAGAGACTGGACATGGTGGCGCATGCCTGCAGTCCCAGCGCTGGGTAGGCTGCAAACAGGAAGATCACTACAAGTTTGAGTTGCGGAGTGAGACCCAGTACCAAATACCTAAAAATAAAATAAAATGAAACAAAATCCTCACAGTGGGCCCAGGCCCTTGCAGGCCTATACTGGAAGCCCTGAAGTGCCTCCTCCACACTGCCAGAGTCAGAGGTTCTGGAAGGGGCTTTCTCCTTGCAGGGAAAGGGGGTAGATTCCAGGAGGCCCTGGAGGCCTGGTCATGTTCAGCCTCCTTGCAAATGGGACCCTCCACCACTGCACTTGGACCCTCTGTTCCGGAAGTCACCCCTGGGCCGTTGCACGTGCCACCCCCTCCCCACTTTGCTGCATTCTGAAAGTGGGCGGAGCCTGCCTGGGGAGAGACAGTCCTTGCTTTTATGGCAAGAGCTACTCCTCTGCGAAGTCTTTCGCTGTTGCCCCGCTTTGTAGAGGAAGGGTGGAAGTTCAGGCGGCGCAAGAGTTCAAGCTTACTAAGGCAGGCTCTGCACTCTCCTACCCTCTGCCACTACTCCTCCAGCACTGGACAGCAGAATCCTAGTTTTGTGCACAGGAGCCAGGTACCTAGCAAGAGTCAAAATACCTCTTGTCCCAGTTGGCTCTGCACCTGAAGGTTAGTTCAGTTCTGGCCAACCAGACGTGAGTGGAAGTCAGCAGGAGAAGCAGCTTCTGGGAAAATCGATTGTCTTCCATTAAAAATGACAGTTGCAGGGGACTCTGCCCTTTGTCCCATCGCTTTCCTTGCCTGGAATGCTGATGGGATGTCTAGAGTTGTTGCAGCCGTTTTGTGAGCTGGAAACCACAAGCATGAGGACACACTTTGAACCAACATACTCAGAATGTCAGAGTAGAAAGGTAAATAGAGACCAGGTTGGCAGCTGAATTGATACCAAGACTGCCTTGACATGGAAACAAATGAAAATGAAACCTCTCATTTGCTTATGCGATTGTTGGTCAGGCCATCTGTTGCTGTCGCTGATAGCATTGATAACCAAGCCTTAGGACTCTTAGCCCATTATTCTTGCTACCATGACTTTGCACCCAGCTGTCCCTGGACATGGGCTGGGTCCCTCACTTCTGCTCTGCAAATGGGCTGAGGATCAGAGCCCCTCAGGCAGAAAAGAGTGGCAGTGAGGGAGGCTGGCAAGAGCCTGTTTTGAAACAGGAAGAGCTGTTGGGTGGTGCTGCCTACGCGGTAAGGCTCACTCACCGCAGCCTCAGGTCCTGGCACCTGCCCTGAGCCCAGCCTGGTGGGATGGAGCTCCACGCAGCATTCCTGGCCTGTGTTGGGAGAAGCCCAGGGCCTTCCAGGCGGGAACACTTCCTTCAGCCTGGCGTGGTGGCACACATGAGTAATCCCAGCCTTTGGGAGGCTGAGGCAGAGGATTGCCACTGGTTCAGGGCCAGCCTGGGTTGGATAGTGAAACCCAACCTAGCCTTGAGAACTGGAGAAGAGGAGACGAAGGGAGGGGAGGGGAGGGGAAGGGGGGGAGGGGAGGGGAGAGGAGGGGAGAGGAGAGGAGAGAGGAGAGGCAAAGGCTACCTCTTAGATTGCGTTCGAGCCTGGCTGCTCCTTATTCCTTCTCCAAGGCAGGGATGTTGGGGTCCCACAGGCTCCTGGTCTCTCACTCTGACATTCACTGGTCAAGCCTGGACAGTTTGGCTTCCAGTATTGGCCAAATCCATCCCTGTCCCTGACATCCTCTGGCTCCTGGCCTTGCCACCTGTCCCCTAGCAGCAGCGGTGGCCTCCTGTCTGGCCTCCCTGTGGTCCCTCTCTGTCTGGTCCCTCTCCCACCAAGCAGTGTGACTGTCCTCTTCAGACATAGCCATGTACCCAGGTGCCACCGAGTCGTGCTGCCTCTGGAACTGCTTGGGAGCAGGTTCCTTCCATCATCCCAGCCTCCGGTGGATTGTTATGGAGATGGCGTCAGACCCCGGGCTTGAGGGGGCTCACAATGTGGGGGGACAGTGGAGCTCCCACATCTCCAGAGTGCTTTGCTTGGCTCAGGCCCACTGCACTGCCTGGCCTTGTTGGTCAGCAGCAGGTCCAGGCCTTGGACCAGAGCCCTGCAGGGCATTCTTGAAGCCCTCTGTCCCTCACTGTCCTCTTCCAAGGTGGCCCTGGACAGATACCGCCCAGCAGCCATTCTCTTTGCCTTAAGTCCACCCCGGCCTTGTTCCCTCCTGCTATAGTCAGCTACAGATCCAGTGCTGTTGTGTAACAAGACACAGAAAGCTTTTATTCTCACAGCCCAAGGTGGGCCAGCTGACTGCCAAGGGTTGGGCCTGGGACTCCTACTGTGGGCTGGTGGGACTCCGCTCTCCGGCTCTATCAGGTTCTGACCTGGTTGCTTGGGACTCACTCTTCTCCTGGTGGATCCCTTAAGCACCGCGGCTCAGCTGCACCCAGACCACGTTGCAGGCCTCTGCTCAGGCTGCCCGTGGCCGAGGCCACCACTGTGGGGAGGGACATGAGGTTCTCCAGAGCCGGGGCAAGGGAGGTTGGCTGAGCACCGTTCTGACCGCTTGTGTAGCCTGCCTGGCCTCCTCATGTCCACTTTGCTCTCGACTCAGTTTCTCCCCCCAGAGCCTCCAGGGATATCAGAACCCAAAGGAGATCAAACAGCTCCATGTCTGAGCCTTCAAGTGGCACCGCAGAGCATTGGCCCAGAAACCCCAGCCTCTGCCATCAGCCCCAAATCCCCTGCTGGAAGGGTCCCACAGCCCCCAGGGCTGCCTCAAAGAGCCCTTGCCTCACCCACTCCAGCACCTTGGCTCCAGCCGCTCCCTCCTCCCAGGACACCCACCCTAGCCACCTCCACTCACTCTAGCCACCTCCGCGGTCACCTACCCCACTCCCCTCTGCCCCTGAGGAGGGACTGCCTTCACTGCTGTTTGTAATGAAGTGCAAAAGGGCTGGTTTACCTACATTGCCAGCCTGGGGCAGCAGGGCCTGTTTGTTCTACAGCTGAGCCCTAGCCCTGAGCCCTGAAGCTGCTGCTTATATAGATGAATACTGTCACAGAGAGGCCCACGTGCCTGCTACCCTCACTTCCAGGTCTTGGGAGCGACCTCTCAGGGAAGGCGCTCTGTCTAGAACTTCTGTCTCTGCCTCTTTCTGTGTATCCTCCCTCTGACTCCATCTGGGACTCAGGAGTAAGGGCCAGAGCAGGGTAAGTCCTGGGGAGGGAAAGGCAGGTATGGGGATGCTTGCAGAGGGCCCAGAGGAAGGCACAGCTCACAGGGATCCATGGGCTGTCCAGTTCTGCCCATCCTGTGGGCCCTGGGTCCTCTGCACCAGGGCGTGCACCAATTGCAGGTGTAGAGAGGGGAGGCACTGAGAATGGAGCCTGGAGGACAGGCAGACAGACAAATACGCCTCTGCTGAGAGGCTCAAACCACAGGGCAGGAAGAGGCTCAGGTCCCAGGGGCCATGTAAAGATGTAGCAACAAGGAACAAGGAACAGAAATGCAGCGCCCACCTTCAAGGAAAGCAAGAGACCCCTGAAACCCTGAGCCATAGCATGCGAGGGTGAGAACAGATGGCAGGGTGAGAACAGATTGCCAGAGCCCAGGAAGACCAATCTCAGTGCCACCACTGGGAGTGGTGGGAGGGTGCGGGGTGGCCTCTAAGAACCCCAGGGGGACTTAGGGACTCACACTATAGACAGGATGCAGGAGGTGAAACCAGCGGGCTGGGTGGGCTGGGAGTTTGAGGAGCACTTGCAGCCCCCCTTGGTCCTTACCTCTGTACAATGAAGCCAGGGAGCCTCTTGTCTCCGAGCTGGACAGAGAAAATTCAGAGATCTGGGGACCAGGGCACCTGTTCTGGGGCAAGGCCGGGCAAGGAACCTGACTGACATTGGAGCCTTGGCAGATTCCATTCCACTTAGCAAATAACCACTCCCTCAGCCTCCACCACCTTGAGACCCAGCC